TATCCCAGACTACAGTCCTCAGGCCAGGTTAGTCTTTCCTAACCCCAGAAAAGTCCTGCTTCAATTATTACTTTTTGGGTCATGTCAGAGTTTGTTCCATGACAGTGCTCTTAACTTATTATACTTTTTATGGTGATTAGCCTTTTTGATGCCAGGTTAGCTTGCAGCTTGCCCAGAGTCCATCCTTATCCCTTGCCAGGACCCTCCTTTTGGGGTGTTGGGAACCAAGGGCAACTGAGGCATAAGTCAGGTAAATATGAGGGATGCCCAGGAGTAAATATTATTCAGAGTCAGTTAACTCCCATGTTACAAAAGCATAGCATTAACTGTCTTTCTCCTGTGTGTACAAAAAGGACATTGCACTAAAATAAACTATGCAAAGGGCATAGGGAAAGAGTAGAGAAATATTTCACTTACATGTAAAAAATCCAGAGCCCTCAGAAGAATTTGATTTTACAGGTTACAGGATCTGATTTGGGGATACAAGTAATTAACAGATAGGGGAAGCAGGCATAAAGGAGAAGTTAAAGAGAAACACAAAGGATTAGGAGTGCCTGATGGAATTGGGTGTGCCTTGGGAGCGCTGTGGTGGGAATAATTCAATAAACCTAAACTCCCTGCCGGTGGAGCAAGTACAAACCAATGTTATCTAACAACAGATAGAAAACCAAGACCTCCAAGCACTGGAGTGATAGCCCAGCAGATGGGGATGCATGCAGTCAATGAAGGTTTGATCCCCTGCATCCCATATGGTCCCTCAACCCCTGCCAGGAGTGATCCTTGAGCACTGCCAGGTATGGCCCAAAAATTATTTTTTAATTAAAACAAACCACAATACCTCCGGGGACCATGAAATAGTACAATTATTAAGGCATATGCCTAGCAAGCTATACCTGACAAAGGTTCAATTCTTGGCAGCATTTTGTCCCCAAAGCATCACCAGGTATGTCCTGGATAACTGTGAGCACCAGCATGTATGGCCCTGAAGACCCCAAGTATTGCCAGCATGGCCTGAGAAGCATCGTGTTCTTGGGCCTTTGTGTTGAATACCAGATCAAGAATTACCAGTGGGAGTTCTGTGCCTCTGCCTTAGTCCCACCACTTTGTTCACTTTGTCATTCTCTATCTTGGGGCTTATAGTCTCCTTGGATGAGACTGTATACCAGGGAGGTCTAGACTATAGGGGCCACACCGTGTTTCAGTAAATATACAAGGAAAGGGTCATAGGAGAACCTGGCATGTGCATGGGCAGATACCCAGGAGATATTAAAGGGAAATGAGTAAATGGTGGCACTAGCAGTTTCTACATGAAGATAAGTGCTTTGGACATTAGGAATGCAAAGTGAGGGGCCAAAGAGAAAGTACAGTGGGTAGAGCATTTGCCTTGCAAGCAGCTGATCCCTGGGATCCCATATGATCCCCTTAGCACCAGGAGTGATTCCTGAGTGTAGAGCCAGGAGGAACCTCTGAGCATCCCTGGCTGTAGCCAAAAATGAAACAAACAAAACCAGCCAAGTGAGAGGCCAGAGTCTAGGGATTAAGGTGCATACACAGTTCAATCATTGTCACCACAAGTCGTCAGACATCACTGGGTGTAGCTTTGAATTGTCTCTAGTAATCCATGACACCTCAGAGCCTGAGCAGCACTACACTTTAGATCCTCTAAGTGCCTCCTGGGAGGCCACCCTGCCAAAAGCAGAAATAGAAAGTGAAGGGTTGGGATAGGAGTGCATTTCATATGAAGTCCTGGGTCAGTCCTGGTACCTCATAGTTATCCAAGTACCACTGAGAGTGACCCCTTGAGCACTGAGCTGACGGTAGCCCCCAAGTACCACTGGGTGTGGCCTCAAAACAAAAGAAAATTAATTTGAAAAGCAAATTGTTACAAAATCAATCTTTTTTGGGGGGTATGGGGAGGCCACAGGGTATACCTGCCATGCTTTGGGCTTACTCCTGGCTCTGTGCTTAGGGATCACTCCTGACAGGGGTTGGCTAGAGGGGCTATCAAAGGCTTATGTGGTGTCAGAGATCTAACAGGGTTTTCCCGGTGCACAGCAAGTGCTTTACTATACTATCTCTCTGGCTCTATCCATGTGTATCTTATACCAAATGTTAGTGTTGTAAAGAGCTCCCCAGATCCTGCATAGAGACAGGAAAACAGTGAGTACTGGCTGTAAGAGGTAGACATTAGACCTCAGGGTTTGGTCATAAATGTCATCACTGTTAAGTCAAAAAATTTGCTAAATTACATTATCAAAAGGAAACCTGTGGGGTTGGAGAGATAGTATAGTGGGTAGGGTGCATGCCTTGCACAAGGACACCTGGGTTCCATCCCCAGTACCCCATATCATCCCCTGAGCACCACCAGCAGTAATTCCTGAACACAGAGCCAGTAGTAACTCCAGAGCACTTCCAGGTGTAGTCCCAAAACAACAAAAAGGAAACCTGTGTAGGTATCCATGTATTAATAGAGTATTCCTTTAACTTCCTCCCCTGCACCTTTGCTATAAATATCCATTTGATCATGTTATATTTCTAATTGAGCCCACTTCTATACTAAGATTTTTTTGCCCTACTGCAATAGTCTGGTTATTTTTTTTTAACTTCCCTTTTTTTCCCTTTTTATTGTTGGCACAGTGACCAGATGTCACACATACTTGGTTGTGTTATTCACACACTAGATTGTGGTGCTCTCTGGTGGTTGTACATTTGGTTGTAGGGGTCACACATTTTAGTTTCAGTGTTGGCACACATTTGGTTGTCGTGTGCTGGAGACCATACCCTTTTTTGTATCACTGGGGATCCAAATGGCTGTATCATCATAATCATACTTGGGTTATGTGGAGTAGTGCTGGGAATTGAACTTGCAGCCTTACACGTAGAGGGCAGGCATTTTGCCACTGAGCTATTTACCTCAGGCATACTGTTAAACATTTTCTATTATTTGTTGGGGGTGGCTATCCCAGCTGTTGCTCAGGAGGCTGAGGGATCCTGCCAAATATTTTTGGCCAACCAGGCTAGGCCTTGATCCCCTATCATGTGGGGGATCAAGGATGTAGTGTGCTTGCCCCATGTGCTGAGGATTACTAGCAGAGCTTCACGACCTCAAGGGCCACACCTGCTGGTGCGTGGGGTCCTCAAGAGCATCTTGTGGTACTGGAGATCAAACTGAAATTTGCCACATGCAGGGCATACACCTTAACCCTTCTTTTTTTGGTGGGAAGCTGGAGATTGTGTTTTTTGACTACACCCAATAGTGCTTAAGACTTACTCCTGGTTTTGTACTTAAGGATCATGCTGACGGTGCTTGAGAGACCATATGTGTTAGGAGATTGAACCCAGGTCAGCCCCATTCAAGACCTGCTACTCATCCACTATACTATCCCATCAGCCCTAGCTCTATTTTTTTTTTTTGGTATAAGTTTTTGGATCACAACCATTGGTGCTTGGGAGTTGCTCGTAGTATTTCAGTACTTAGGGAACCAAGAATTAAATCTAGGATTCCCACATGCAAAGCTTCTTGAGGCACTTTCCCAGCCCTGCAAATTTTTCTTAATAAAATCTGTTTTAATCACTTTAACTCTTGATCATTTCTAAATAATTTGAAAGGTGGGGTGGTTTGGACACACCCTATTATGCTCAGGGGCTATTCCTGACTCTGTGCACAGGACACCCTGGCAGTGCTTGGAGGACTATGTTTGGTACTAAGCATCTCACTGGGGTGGGTTGTATTCAAGGGAAGCACCTTCCCTCCTGCACTCTCTCTCCAGCCCTACATAAATTTCTAACAACATGCAAACCCTCTGTAAGCCTCCAGATTCCCCAACTGAATGGTCCTGTAGCCAAGGCAGCTGGCAGTAGGCAGAGCACATGGGTCTTTCCCCCAGGAGCCTTGAGTATGGGGTTCACAAGTGCTCAGTCTGGCTCCAGGCCAAGGCCTGAGGAAATGCAGGGGACATGGTCAGAAGATGTCTCTTTTTCCCTCCTTGGTCATGAGTCTGGGGCACTGCCATCCTCTGTCCAGGGTTCCCAATGGGAGACTCCTGTTCAGTCTCTCACACACCTTCATACAATGTTGCACACACTCACATATCACAGAATCACACCCACCATCACACTAACAACACTATAATCAATCTGGAATCTTCGTGCTGTTATCAGAACATCCCTGTCACCACCATCTCTGCCTCATAAGTTTTGCGTGAAGACTACATGAGCACCACATATGGTGACTTAACTCAGGTCACACAGACGTCCACGCGTGGTTACAGAACGAGCAACCTCGGAGTTACACCCCACAGGCTGGAGAAACCAGGGTCACTGATCCACACACACCACACACGCGACCCTTTCCACACCCCAATCAGCATCTTCCCCCAGACGCGCCATCGGGCCGCCTCCAGCACAGCCTGCTGCCTCTCCAGCCCCGAGTGGCGCTGGACAAGGCCACCTGTGCCCGAGGCCGGGCGCTCGTCCTGCTGGGAGTTGTAGTCCAGGTGGTCGCAAGTCGCAAGTCGCGTGAGAGTGTGCCGCGAGCTTGCTGGGAATCGCAGTCCGGAGCCGGCGCGGAGCCCGCGTCCCTGGCGCCCTCGCCTCAGCTCCCGAAAGCGCCCGGCTGGGGCTCCTCGGCCGCGGCTCGAGCGGTGCGGGTGCGGGATGTGCGGCACCGTCTCGCGTGCTGGCGGTGAACTGAGCGTGGGCTCTGAGGTCTGAGTGCGGGTCCGGTCGGTCCGATGGAACCCACGGACCGAGTGCCTGACGGGCGGCGCGGGATGGGCTGGCGCTCCGACCAACGCAGCCCCTCCGCCGCCTCGCCCTCCGCTCCCTGAGATCGCGCCGCAGACGGCTTTCCGGGGGGCGGCCGTGTGGCTGCCGGGTTCCAGCCGGCAGGGGGTGCAGCGAGGAGGAGCGAGGAGCCCGCGCTCATCCAGGGCCCGGCTGCTTACTCCGAGCGGGCCGGAACCGGCAGATCGGCAGTTCCCCGAGCTCTGACAAGAATTCGTTCTTTGCGGAGGCAATGGTGTGACCACTTCCGGACATGCCCCTCAGCGCCCCGGGTGACCCACGGTCCGGCTGCCTGTTTGCGGGCCGCCGGGCCGGCCTGACCTGAGGGCCAGCGTCTCCCTCAGCAGCGGGTGGAGGTAGGATGCGATCCTCATGGCTGCTTGTTAGCGCCAACGGCCTTCCCGGACCAGTGTTGAGGTGGTGAATCGAGGAACGTTGTGCGTGGGTCTCAGAAACTGGCCTGGGGGCGGGGAGTTTCTTAGAAAGGTAGATTCGAGGTACAGAGAGGAGTTGGGGAGCTGTGCCCATGTGTGATGACCAGCTCCACCTTTTTAGGCCTTCCATTTATTTACTCAGTACCAGTTTACACTGCACCTGCGCTCAGTGCGGATCCTGGTGTTGTGAGTTTCAGATCCCCACTTGCAGGGAGACCGAGGCCACACAAAAGCAAAGGAACTATTGCTAGCTCGAGCTAGGGTCCGAGTTTCATCCAATGCAGTGGAGTCTTGATAAGGACCCTGACTCCAAATCACAAGCAGTTTATGTGGGGTTCAGAGTTAAGAGCGGTTTATATACTGGTCTGTTTTAGCATTGGCCTTATTACACCAGCTGTCAGCAGTAACAGTTTGGGGTTCTTTCCATGAAGGGTGCAGCGAGGCCTCATGACTGGCCAGATCCAACTGCCCAGTTTCTTATCTAGGTGAATTATTCAATTAAGAGTTTATCAGAAACTGCAAGTCCTGCCTCGGGAATAGAAACTGAGGCCTAGTTGAGACTGAATGTTAGCTGCAACTTGTCATGGCATCAGTTTTGCCCTCACACTGGGTGCTGTGACTCTAACATGCCTACTTTCTCTGGAGAAGCACCCTCCATACTCAAAAGGACACTCACTGAACTTGGTCCCAGATGCTGGGACAACTTCTGGAGAAAACAGCAGTTGAGGTGAGGCCTGGGAGACTAGGATTGATTTACTAGCCGCAGAGGGGGTTTTGGACAAGGGACACAAACTGAAAGGAATGTGGGTAACAAGAGCAAGGGGACAAGAGACTCAAATGTATTTTAGAGTTAGCAGCTAGAACACAGCTTGCCAAAGATTGCCAGCTGCCACTGAATGGTATTAGGTTTGGGGCTTGTTTTATTAACACTTCTCCCTCTGCCCTAGGCCATGGCTCCTCATATTTTTTTGTTTTCTCTATTTTTGTCTAGAGGGGACTTTAAGGGAATTTAAGCAAGTGGGTATCAGGACTGACACAGAAGAGAAAGAAAAGGAGAAGGGAGATAAACAATATTGTTGGGAGTTGTGGGTCTGTTGAATGTTATTCTGGATATTTCATATCAGTGAGACTATTCTCTGTGAACTATTATTGTGTCTGGCTTCTTCCATACTGTTTTCAGAGTTCGTGATTTAGCATAATCAGTACTTTATCCCAATTTATGAATAATAATATTCTGTCATAAGTTTTATAGCATTTTGCCCATTCATTATTTGATGGTCACTTGAGTTTGCCTCTGCTTTTTGGCTGTTAATATCATATGTTTCTGTGAACATTTGTGTACAAGTTTTTATGTGGACACTAGTCTTCATTTCCCCTGGGTATGAGCCTAGAAATAAATTTCTGGGTCAGATAGTAATGCCATGTGTAATAGAGGAGCTGCCAGACTATTTTTTTTGGGGGGGTCACACCTAGTGATACTCAGGGGTTACTCCTGGCTCTGCACTCAGGAATTACTCCTGGTGGTGCTGAGGGGACCATATGGGATGCCGGGGATTGAACCCAGGTCGGCCGCATGCAAGGAAAATGCCCTTCCCACTGTACTATCATTCCCACCCACGCCAGACTATTTTTTACAGTAGCTATACCATCTTACATTCCCTACTCATAGTTTCCTTCTCCGTAACGAAGTTCTATTTTGTTTTCTATATATCTATAATATATAATCGATATATAATCTATATATTATAATATATAATTTATATATAGTATATATCATTTTATTTTATTAATTTTTTATTTGTATATAATTTATATATTATATAATCTATATATTATAATATAGAATTGATGCACAGCGGGTAGGGTGTTTGCCTTGCACGCAGCCAACCCAGGTTCGATTCCTCCATCCCTCTCAGAGAGCCCAGCAAGCTACCGAGAGTGTCTCGTCCGCACAGCAGAGCCCGCACAGCAAGTTCCCCGTGGCGTATTTGATATGCCAAAAACAGTAACAACAAGTCTCACAATGGAGACGTTACTGGTGCCTACTCGATTAAATTAATGACCGGGAGGACAGTGCATTTATCTATAATGCGGTTTCATTTTCTATATACCTATGACAACAGTTATGTCTTTTAACTGTTCTAGCAAGTGTAAGAAAATATTTCATTATAGGGCTTTATTTTGTTTTTTTCCTAGGAAAATGGGGGAGACCGCACCCAGCAGTGCTTGGGAATTACTGCCTGGTGCTTAAGGGACCATGTACTGGGACCAGACCAGGGACTGAGTGATAATACAGCATGTAGGGAACTTGACTTGCATGAGGCCAACACAGATTCGTTTCCCAGCACCCTAAATGATCCCCGAGCCCTACCATGAATGATCCCTGATCACAGAGCTAGGAGTAAGCCCTGAGCACCTTGAGAGTGGCCTAGAAACCAAGAAAGAGAGAGAGAAAGAAAAAAACAAAAACAGGAACAGAGGCTGGGGAGATACTACAATGGATAAAGCTTGCACATGCCCGACCCAAGTTCTATCCCCTGGCATCCTATATGGTTCCACAAGGACTGCCTGTAATTCCTGTGTGCAGAGCCAGGAGTAACCCCTGAGTACCACAAGGAGTACCAAAAATTTAATAGGGGGGCTGGAGAGATAGTACAGTGGGTAGGGTGTTTGTCTTGCCCCACCTCCATCTCTGGCATCCCATATGGTTCCATGATCACCAGCAATAATCTCTGAGTGCAGTCACAGGAATTACCCCTAATCATGGCCAGATGCAGCTCAAAAACAAAAACAAAAAGCAGGGATCATCAAATAGAAGGCAAGTGCCTTAACCCCTGCACTATTTCTTTTTTGTTTGTTTTGTGGTCACACCAACGATGCCCAGGACCTACTCCTTGTTCTGTGCTCTGGGATTACTCCTGGCAGAGTCTGGGGAGGTAGGCAATACAGGTTGCTGTTGATTGGACCTGGGTCAGCTGCATGCAAGACAAGCACTCTACCCATTGTTCTACCCTCTGTACTATCTCTCTAGCCCATCCGCTATGCCATTTCTCTAATCCCTCATAGTGGTTTGGTTTTTTTGTTTTGTTTTGTTTTGGTTTTTTTTGCCTTTTTGGGTCACACCCGGTGATGCACAGGGGTTACTCCTGGCTCTGCACTCAGGAGTTACTCCTGGCGGTACTCAGGGGACCATATGGGATGCTGGGAATCGAACTCATGTGAGCTGCGTGCAAGGCAAATGCCCTACCCGCTGTGCTATCTCTCCAGCCCCCTCATAGTGTGTTTTTATTGTTGTTGTTGTTGTTTCATTTTTTTAAGGGTGGAATAGAGTTGGGCCATTCAGACAATACTCCGGGGCTATTTCTGGCTCTGTGCTCAGGGATCACTCTTGGTGGTTTTCACTCTTGGAAAGATTATCTGGGGGATCTAAAAGAGAAAGTTACATGCAGGGCAAGTACCTTATTGACTTTCTGTCTAGGCCTCTCCCCATTGTAGTTTTGATTTGCATTTCTTTATTTGTTAATAATATTTAGCATCTTTTTTTTTCTTTTTCGGCAAACCCACAGTGTTCTGGGCTTATTCCCAGTTCTGAGCTCAGGGATCACTCCTGGTTGGACTCAGGGGACCATATGAGGTGCCAGGGATTGAACCTGGGTCAGCCATATGCAAGGCAAGTTCCTCACCCATTGTACTATCTCTCCATTCCCTGTTTAGCATCTTTTCATCTATTGGTTGGCCATTTGTATGCATATTCTTCTTGGAGAAATGTCTAGTGGATCCTTTGCACATATTTTAATTGAGTAACTTAGCTTTTGGGGGAGGTGGATGTTGGTGGTGGTGTAGTGGGGCCACACGCAGTAGTGCTCAGGCTTTGCTCCAGGGTCTGTGCTCAGGGATCACTTCTAGCAGGTTTGGGGACCATATAGGTTGCTGGGGATGGAATCTGGGTCAGCTGCGTGTGAGGCAGATGCCCTACTCGCTGTATTATCACTCAGGCCTAGGCTACTTCACTTTTTATTACAAAGTTGTTCCTGATATAGGTCCTTTATCAGATACGCGATTTGCAAATATTTTCTTCCATTCTGTGTAATGCCCTTTCACTTTCTTTTTTTGTTAGGGCTACATCCTGCATTGTTCATGGTTTACTTCTGGCTTTGTAGTCAGGAATCACTTTTTTTTTTTTTTTTTTTTTTTTTTTGCTTTTTGGGTCACACCTGTAGTTGCACAGGGGTTACTGCTGGCTGTGCATTCAGGAATTACTTCTGGCGGTGCTTGGGAGACCATATGGGATGCTGGGAATTGAACCCAGGTCAGCCATGTGCAAGGCAAACGCCCTACCTGCTGTACTATCGCTCCAGCCCCTCAGGAATCACTCTTGGTGGGCTCAGGAGACCATATAGGGTACTGGGGATCAATCTGAGTCAGCTGTATGTACAGGCAGGTAACACAACCACTGTACTGTTGACTCCAGATCCCATTTTGTGAACTTAACAGTAATCGACAGTCAAAAGTGAGTTAGAAAACCCCATGGGCGGGGTGAGGTGAGGTGCACGGGGAGATAGTACAGCGGGTACACTTGCCTTGCATGTGGTTGACCCAGGTTTGATTCCAGGCATTCCATACATTCCCCTGGGCACTTCCAGGGGTGATTCCTGAGTGCAGAGCTAGAATAACCCCTGAGCATCACTGAATATGGTCCAAAAAACAATAAGAAAATAAAACCCCAGTGTCAGAGAAAGAACAACAGTTAAGGCAGAGTTCTGTCCTTAAAGTTCCTTACCTCAGTTCCATCCCTGGCACCCCATGTGATCCCCCATCTCTTAGAGAAGTGATCTCTAAGCACCACCAGGTGTGACCCAAAAAAAGAAAAAAAACAATTATTTTTTAATAAAGAAATCTGAATTCTAAGGACAACAGAGCTATTTTACAGTGGGTAAATACAAATAAATTTACAACTATTTTACACTTGCCTTACACATGGCCAATCTGAATTCAATCCCCGGCACCCCATATGGTCCCCTGAGCCTGTCAGGAGTGATCCCCTTAGCTCAGAGCCGGGAGTAAACCCTGAGCATAGCCGAATGTGGCACAGAAACAAAAAGAAATTTCAGAGTTCTAAATAATTTACAGGTGAGGAAGAAACTACAACAGAAATTAAGGGGGGGGTTGTTTTAGGGTCATACTCCTCTGGTACTTGAGGGCTATTTCCAGTTCAGTCACTGGGGATGCTCAGGGAGCATCCAGTGCCAGGGATTGATGCCTAGCCTCTACGTGCAATACATGCATGCTAAACCTTTGAGCTGTCTTTCCACCCCCTAGACAAAAAAAAAAAATTGAACCAAATATTTAATGAAGATATAATAAAACTTGAGAGTGTGCAGGAGCCTGGAGAGATAGTACCGAGGATAGTACATTTGCCTTGCACACTGCTGATCCTGGTTTGATCCCTAGCACCCCATATAATCCCCAAGTCCTACCAAGAATAGTCTCTGAGCACAGAACCAGGAGTAAGGCCTGTGCACGTTGACCAGGTATTCCCCATTAAAAAAAGAAAAGGAAAACAAAACCTTGAGGGCATGCAGCTAAAGCTGTATTTAGAGGAAAATATATGAAAAGAAAAAAAGTTGCCATAGAGACAGTTTAACTGGCTAGATCACATCCTTTCCTTGCAGGACAATCTGGCACCTTGTACTTCTTGAGTAGTGCTAGAAATGAGCACTTGGCTAGAAATAGCCCCAGAAGACCAATTGGTGTGGTTCTAAAACCAAACCAATAAAAGAGGAAAGACTGAAAGCTGTGATACTAGTATCCATCTCAGAAGCTACAAAATAGATAGCAACTACAAAATAGATAGCACTTGGCTTTGGGCTATGCATACCTTAAACAGACTCCAGTAGGGTCAGGCTGCCTTGGTTTCTAACTGAGCAACCACCCATCCCTTCACTTTTAGGAAATTTTTCTTCTTCTATGTCTCTTTTTGTAACCATAAAATGGGAAGAAAATTCTACCTCCTGAGTTTAGTTTGAATTTTAAAATTGTTGCTGCTTGCTAGTATTTAAAACAGTGGGTGCTATCATGATTATTTTGATAATTTGTGTCATTGTGAAGAGTGACTCACATCTCATATGTCCCTGCTCTATGAAGGAGGGCCCCAGGTTTCACATGATGACCAAGTTCTGATCCTCCTACAGACCCAGTTCCCAGACTCCATCTTGTGTCTTGCCTGGAGTGCTACTGCCCAATGGCCATTCCCAAGAGCCCCCTGAGCACAGTGCCTGGGACACAGGATGACTTCCTACGAGTGAAGGTGGAGGATGAAGAGACTGACTGTCCCCGTGTCCAGGAATTTAGCTACACTGCCCACCCTGAGTCTGCACGTCAGCGCTTCCGGCACTTCCGTTTTGAAGAGGCATCCAGTCCACATGATGCACTTGCCCAGCTCTGGAAACTATGCCGCCAGTGGTTGCAGCCAGAGATGCACTCTAAGGAGCAGATTCTGGAGCTTCTCGTGCTGGAGCAGTTCTTGGGGGCACTGCCCCCTGTGATCCAGTCCTGGGTGGGGTCCCAGTGCCCCAAGAGCAGTGAGGAGGCTGTCTTGATGGTGGAAGATGTGACTCAGGTTCTGGATAAGAAAGGTGAGGAGAGCAGGGGTTCGATCTAGACTAGAATGTGGGGACGCAGCCTTCAGATTTGTTTTGTCACAAATTCTCATGTTTTTCCCTCTTCCAGACTTTGTTTTGATTGCTGATGACCAAGTAGGGAGGCTTCATGGTTAGTTCCAGACTCTTTTCTCTCATTCTGTTTCTCATTTGGCTTTCTTTACATCAGCTTCATCCTTAAGCAGCTTTTCAAGATTGGCAGAGCAACCTCAGGCTTGTGGATTTTTTAATGTAGACACCCCAGAGAAGAAGAGAGTGCATGACTTTCAGGCTGAGCTTGCTGCACTGGTTGGATCTAAACCAGCTAGTATCAGGAAAGGCCTTCATTCTGGTGTAGGTGTGAGAAATAGAACCCAGGTATCCCTATGTATCCTCTCTGAGCCCCTTTGTACTGGCCTCTGATAACGCAATATATCAAACCTTAGCCTCATACCAGTGGGCAAGGTGTTTGCCTTACACGTGGACAAACTTGGTTTGATCTCCAGCACCCTGTATATGTTTCCCTGAACCTACCAGTAGTAGTCTTTGAGCTCAGAGCCAGGCATAAGCCCTGAGTTCCACTGAATGTGACACCCTCCCAAAAAGATAAAAAGCTGTTCCCAGGTCAGAAGATCATACCACACATATGGTCCAGCCATGGAGGACCCAGAGCTAAATCAATTCAGAGTGAAATGTTCATAGTGAAATGTGGACTGAAGCAGTGAAATGTTCATAGTGAAATGTGGACTGAAGCAATAATACAGTAAAAATACAGCTGCCTTGCACTTGTCTAATCTGGGTTGGATCCCTAACACCCTATGTGATCCCCTGAGCACCACCAAGAGTGATACCTGAGCACTGAGCTAGTAGTACAGAAGTAAGCCCTGAGCACTACTAGGTTATAGCAAAAAAAAAAAAAAAAAAAAAAAAAAGTGTGAACAGTCCTCCTGATAGGGTCTACCCTGCCTTGGTTTGACCTAATGGTAGCAGGTGTTGGGGTGAGCATGCCTGGTTAGGAAGAACATGGAACTGGAAAGAGAAGAATCTCCAAGGAGCTGGGGTCTGTCAAGAGGGAGCAAGTACACAGCACCTGGCACAAACAACCCACACCACCCCATATCTTCCTCTCTCTTTTGCCCTACCCTTATTCTTATCAGTTCACACTAGAGTTTTCATTTTGACACTTAAGTCAAAATCAGGAGCCTTGAAGAATGAAGCATTTGGGGAGAGGAGGGGGGGAATAGGAACCTGTAATTTCATATGGGAGGGGGGTCCAGAAAGTCCTGTGCCCTTTTGTCATCCCATCCCGGATTGCAAATGAGAAACTTTCCTTTGGAATAGGTGAAATATTAGGAGTGGTCCACATTTTCCATATGTCGAAAAACCAGGAGAAGGTCTAGTTTGGAGAGAATGGTCATGCTGTGGTTTGGATTGTTTCAGGATGGGAACCGGAAGCTGAACTGTCAAAGGCAAACTACAAGCAGAGTGATTCAGAAGAGTCAGAGCCTTCAGACAGGGCCACTGAAACCCTTGTGGGAGGTGTTTGCCTGGGACCTGCCTTTGGTAATTCCTGCAAATCTGAGGGCAGCTCAGAGAGGCAGGTGGGAGTCGCAGGGGTTATCTGGACTAATTCTGTTGCCCAAGAAATAGATCTCGGGGAAACATCAGTAGTGCTTCACAAGGATACCCCTCCAGAGCAACCCTGCTATGAATCAAGTGCCTTGGGGAACATTCCCAATGTGTGGACAAACTTCACCTCCCCAGACAACACTCCTCCAGAAGAGAAATTTAATCCATTGGAGGGTTATGGGACAGAACTACCATGTCTGTATTCTGGGAGGAAGTCCTCCAAGTGTGCCCAGTGTGGGAAAACATTCCAAAGCCCCTTGACCCTGGAGGCACACCAGAAGAGCCATTCCAGGAAGACACCTTATTCTTGTAGTGAGTGTGGAAAAGCCTTCAGCCGTAGTACACACCTAGCCCAGCACCTGGTTGTGCACACAGGGGCAAAGCCCCACGAGTGTAAGGAGTGTGGCAAGGCCTTCAGCCGGGTCACCCACCTAACTCAACACCAGAGGATCCACACTGGGGAGAAGCCCTATAAGTGTGGGGAATGTGGCAAAACTTTCAGCCGCAGCACTCACCTCACCCAGCATCAGCGGGTGCACACTGGGGAGCGACCCTACGAGTGCGAGGAGTGTGGCAAGGCCTTCAGTCAGAGTACCCACCTTACTCAACACCAGCGCATCCACACCGGGGAGAAGCCCTACAAGTGTGATGCATGCGGGAGAGCCTTCAGTGACTGCTCAGCACTCATCCGACACTTGAGAACCCACTCAGGAGAGAAGCCATATCAGTGTAAGATGTGTCCGAAGGCCTTTGCACAGAGTTCTTCCCTCATTGAGCATCAGAGAATCCACACTGGGGAAAAGCCCTACAAATGCAGTGACTGTGGGAAGGCCTTCAGCCGCAGCTCAGCACTCATGGTTCACCTGAGGGTCCATATCACAGTCCTTCAGTAACAAGAGATAGCCTTGGGCACCACACTGTCCCTCCTCAGATGTCCAACATCTATGAATCCTGAGTTCCACGAGTACCAAAAACAGGATAATAACAACATATAAAGAATAAGACAGATTTTGGGGGGTGGGAGTGATAGCAGAGCAGTAGGGCGTTTGCCTTGCACACAGCCAACCTGACCAACCCAGGTTCAATTCCTCTGCCCCTCTTGGAGAGCACGGCAAGCTACCGAGAGTATCTTGCCAACACGGCGAAGCCTGGCAAGCTACCCATGACGTATTCGATATGCCAAACACAACAACAAGTCTCACAATGGAGACATTACTGGGCCCGCTCGAGCAAATCAATGAACAACAGGAGGACAGTGACAGTGACCCTGACAATTGATCTTTAACTGGAAATTGCAGCCTTTATTCCTGTCAGTGTTCTGGCCTTGACACCCGTTTTTTTTTTTTTATAATCCATTCACATGTGAATCATTTAGTCATCCTCACTGTCAATATCTCACCCTCTTTTTCTCTGTATTTGAGCATTTTTCCAAGGTCAGTAAGAGAGATCACAAAACTAACCAAGGAGAGAAGTTGTCAAGTAGAGGCGAAACACAGATTTTGTCACACATAATGTAGACAAGAGGGGCTGAAAGAGAAGGTGACAAGTGCAGGGAAAACTCCACTAAGAGACATTCTCAGTTAAGTGATCAAACAAACCTAAGCCTAAAGCCATACTATAGAGTTTCATTCTTCCCCAGGGCTGCTCTCGGGACCTCAGATTAGTGGCTCCCCTGAACTTTGAAGATCTGATAATTTTTAAGGCAGAAAAAGACTTGGTCTATGCTACATGTGATCCAGGACTTGACTGACTTCTTCCTGTCTTCATCTTTTCTCTAACCCCCACTCTCCTGATACCTGTCACAGAATAGTTCATGCCTCTATCCCCTGGTGCACTGAGCATCTCTAGTACCTACTTTGTCACGAGATGTGTGCCCAAGTTTATCTAAAGGGAAAGGAAGTCAGAGAGAATAAAGGTTTTTCTTAATGCTGCACATGTGCTTTCAGTCTGCCAAATAATTACAATGCATCATCTTATTTGATCCTCAAACAATTCTCTGAGGGAATGCAGCCATCTCTTTCATAAAGGAGGGGACAAGGGATCAGAGATAGGCCAAGTTTGCACTGGCAGGGACTGGAAGTACTGGAATTTAAAAACACACCCAAATTTGTTCTCAGTTTCAGTAAGTTTGAGTAAACACAAGAAATCAAGTGAGACAAATACAAACATTAAATTTCTCTTCAACCCAGAGATACACCTGGGTCCAAAGAGAATATAGCGGGTAGGGTGCTTGTCTTGAACATGGCATGTGGCTGACCCGGGTTCAATCACGGGCATCCCATATGGTTCCCCAAGTACCACCAGGAGTGATTCCTGAGTGCAGAGCCAGGAGGAACCCCAACCCAAAAAGACACACCTAAAATAGCCATGGGGAAGTTGAGGGCAAAGGAATATAAAGAGATATAAATTGTAGCTATTTACTGAAAAAAGTCAGCAAAGCTGTATGTATTTCATATAAAATAGTGTTAATGCAAGAAGGCATTATTAGGGGCTGGAATGATAGCACAGTGGGTAGGGCGTTTGCCTTGCATGTGGCCGACCCGGGTTCAATTTCCAGCATCCCATATGGTCCCCGGAGCACCGCCAGGAGTAACTCCCAAGTGCTTGAGCCAGGAGTAACCCCTGTGCATCACCGGGTATGACCCAAAAAAGAAAAAAAAAGAAGGCATTTTTAGGATCATTTGTTTGTTGGTAATGTTTGGGATTTTGGAAAACACTTGGCAGTGATCAGAACTTACTCCTGGCTCTGGCTCTGCACTCAGGAATCATCTTGGCAGTGCTCAGAGAACCATATGGGGTGTCAGGGATTGAACCCTGCCTGCCGCATGCAAGGCAAGCCCTTACCTGCTGTATAATCACTCTGGCCCCAGAATCACTATTTTTTATAAAAGGAACAACTAATAGTTTGAAACCAAGCAGGTCATGCTACTATTCATGTGGAAAAAAATAACAATGAGAGGGGCTGGAGCAATAGCACAGCGAGTAGGGCGTCTGCCTTGCAGGCGGCCGACCCAGGTTCGATTCCCAGCATCCCATATGGTCCCCTGAGCACCGCCAGGAGTGATTCCTGAGTGCAGAGCCAGGAGTAACCCCTGTGCATCACCAGGTGTGACCCAAAAAGCAAAAAATAAATAACAATATGAAACTGATTAAATCACCAATGTAATTAAAATTCTAGTCACTTTGGTTCACACCTCTCAGTGCTTGGGGACTATTTCCAGTTTTGTTTAGAGATTGTTCCCTGCAATGCTCAAGAGACTATGTGGTGCTGGAGATTGAACCTGGCCTCCCGTATGCAAAGCATGCACTCAGCCCACTGAGCTCCTCAGCCCACTGAGCTCTCTCTGGCTCTCTATCCATGTTCTTTAGGATAGTGGCAGAAACAATATGTAAAGAAACAAATGGCCAGAAACTTCACATTTAGCAAAAAATATGAAAGCTCATTGAACCTGAGGAGATAGCTCAAAGGGCTGAAGTGGATGTTTTGCCTTGTGGAAGTCCAGATTCAATTCCTAACCACCAAGTGTAGCCCCTGAGCATAGTTGGGTGTGGGCCAAACCCTCTCCCCAAAATAAACTTATTAAACTCTAGAAGACATAACCTCAAGGAAAACAATGCCCAAATACATCATAAATTACTCTTTGTTTTGTTTTGTTTTGGGTGTCACCAGCAGTGTTTAGGGCTTACTCCTGGCTCTGCACTCATGGATCACTATTGGTGGGCTCAGGGGACAATATGGGGTACCCAGGATCAAACCCAGGTCAGTCGTGTACAAGGCAAGTGCCCTGCCTGCTGTACTACCACTCTGGCCCCACATCATAAATGACAAAAAAAATTATTAATTTTTTTTGTAGAGATGGGACAGTTGGGATACACCCTTTGGCCTTTTGGGGTCACTCCTAACAGTGCTCAGGGGATCAAGCATCAAACCAAGGTCAGCTGCAGTAAAGTAAGTGCCTTAGTCCCTGTATTATCTCTCCACACATCATTTGAAAACAGACTGAGATGAACCATGATCCTTCAGTCTTATTTAGATATTTACCTTCATAAAATGTTTAGAGAGATAGTATAGACTGTTGGGTACTTGTCTTGCATGCAGCCAACCCAGGTTTGATCCCCAGTATTCCATAATCCTCATTCCATAATTCCACCAGGAATAATTCCAAATTCCAGGAGTAACCCCTAAGGATCACTGGATGTGGCCCAAACACCCAAAATATAAACAAAAAAAATCACAAAAATACTTGCACAGGGTGCCAGAGTGATAGTATAGTGGATGTAGAGTGTTTGCCTTGCATATGGCTGACCCAAGTTCGATCACTGGCATTCCATATGGTGCCCCAAGTACCACCAGGAGTAATTGCTGAGTACAAAGTCAGGAATAAGCCCTGAGCATCGCTGGGTGGTACCCAAGAAGAAGAAAAAGAAAGAAATATTTGTACATGAGGCTGGCTTTTCAAGCCCATGTTCTCTCTTGAACATATATCTCACTTGTTTATCTCTATTTCTCTTTACTTACTTTTTCCACTCTGAAGAAGTTTCCTAGCAGGCTCAACCACATGGACTGCCAGGGATCCAGCCAGGTTGGCCACATTCAAGGCAAACACCCTACTTGCTGTATTATCACTCTGGCCCCAGTGCCCCATATTTTTAAAAAGTAACAGTGCTGGCAAGATAACCTAAGAGGTAAGCTGCTTGCCTTGTATGCAGCCAGTGCTAGTTTAAATCTGGCATCACATATGGAGTTAGATCTAGAGTCTGCACCTGTCAGTGACTGATCAGAAGCTCCTAGGGAGGCAGCGACAGCTTGACAGAAGAAATTTGAAGAGGGGGGGTATGGTGCCGCGAGCAGATCAGTCTGTACCTGTGAGGCAAGTGCATCAGCAGCCTCATGGCGTCTTCAGACTTCCAGATACCCTAAAATTGCTGCTGTGCCTTTGGCCAGACCCCAAAAACTTGGGGCAGAGTTTACCAAGAAAGTAAACGGCCAAAAGTTAGGTATGTGGGAGACACACCCACAAACCACCTCTGGCTCAGCTATATAATTGGAGGCACGGCCTCTCTGGTTCCTGATCGGACTGTTTAACGGCCATGATCCCAGAGACTCAGAAACAAATCTCGTAACCCAGCATCTTTTGGCAGAAATGTGTCCAGACCCTGCAGTATGTTACTGTCACTGGGCTACCCCAGAGGGGAAAGGGTGCTGTCCATCCGCATGCTCCCTCGAGGTGGCTCGGTGACTCCCATCTTCCAGAGGCCATGGAAAGTCAGGTTTGGGCCCGCAGTGACGAGACACACGGGGCCTCACAGGATGGAGGTGAAGCCGGCCCTTTCCTCCCCACCCCAGCGAGAATCCGAGTTGCCGCCCACAAACGGCCTCTCTGGCTCCTGATCAAGCTGCTTAATGGCCATGGTCCCAGAGACTCAGAAACAAATCTTGGAACCCAGTGGCTTTTGGCAGAAATGCAGTAGGTTACTGGCGATGGGTCACCCCAGGTGGAAATAGGTTTCGTGCCTTGGCTTATTCCCCCTGTTGGCCCGGTGGCTGCCATCCAGAGGCCACTAGACAGTCAGGTTTGGGCGTGCAGTGATGAGACACGTGGGGCCTCACAGGATGGGGGTGGAGCCTGCCCTTTCCTCCCCATCCCAATGAGATCCCAAGTTGCCGCTCACAAATGGCCTCTTTGGCTCCTGATCAAGCTGCTTAACGGCCATGATCCCAGAGACTCAGGAACAAATCTCAGAACCCAGCATGTCTGGGCAGAAATCCCTCCAGATTTAATTTGTTAGAATTTAATTGTTAAAATTTCGGAATTTCAAAATTGTGTAGCCACTACTGCAGCTGTGCGACATCATATGTTATTCATAACCAGCAACAGAAAACAAATTGTCTACTGTTGCCTTTTCGGCAGATCTGAGTGTTGGGGTAAAATCCCAAATAATAATGGTGGGTCTGGTGTCGAAATATTAAATATAATCAAAGTAGAGAGAGTAATGTGGAAATCATCTGCCCCACAGGTAGAGGGAGGGTGTGGAATAGGGGTATACTGGAGTTTTTGTTGGTGGAGAATGGGCACTGGTGAAGGTATGGGTATTTTATTGTATGACTGAGACTTAAACCCGAAAGCTTTGTAACTGCTCTCACTGTGATTCAATAAATAACATTATAAAAAATGAATAATAAAAAAAAGTAAGGTGGAGTTCATGCCCAATTCAATCAGCCTAATCAGTGACTGAATAAATAGTACTACTCCTACATTTAAAAAAAAAAAGAAGTTTGAAGAAGGTCTTGAAAAATGATCTAGGGGCCAGAGTGATAATACCATGGGTAGGAAATTTGTCTTTCACGCGGCTGACCCAGATTCAATCCCCGACATCCCATATGGTCCCCCAAGCAACACCAGTCATAATTCCTGAGTGCAGAGCCAGGAGTAGTAGCCCCTGAGCATCTCCGGTGTGACAAAAAAATAAAACAAAAAATGTGGGTCTAGGAAACAGTGCTCAGCCCCTCAACCTTTGGGACAAAGCCAGACAAACCTTAGGACCATGCCAGACTCAAGCAGGCCTTAATGGCTACCCAAGCCCACACTTACCCTGTATAAGAGTTATAGGAGTCCAAGCCCATGACAAGACACTATTTAAGGCCTCTGTATTTACTGATTCTGGGAATGAAAAGGAAGCACCCTTCACCCACACAGGCACACAGGAAACCTTTATTGAATTCCAGAAAAATGGACCACCAGAACTAGAGTGGAGAAATTCCTTCCCGTGGATACAACCACCACCTGGTCTGCAGTTGGATCAACTTCCTAGAGAGATTTGCCAAGAGAAATAGTCAGAGCAATGTGCATTCTGAGTCCTCCCTGGGAATACCAGGGTCTCCTGCCAGATGACAGAACCACTCTCTGACTCTGCCTTGGCTGGTGTTCCTCAGTCTGCAGTCCCTGACCCCAGCTGGCCAGGCTCACTATTCAGTATGCCTGAAGTTCAGGGAATGGGTACAATCTGGGCAAAGGCTGTGACTGAATGGGCACAATCTGGACAAAGGTTGCCCACCGAACCCTGGGAAACTCACCTGCCACCCGAAGCTCCACAGGGTTACTAGGCTCTGACAGGAAGGGCCTGAGCCCTCTGGACTGGTATTGGCAGCTGTAGTTGCCGGCGTGTTGGGGCCCTATGTAGGACAGCTTGAAGTTCACTGAGGCATTGTCAGACAACTCTTCCAAAGAAGCCATCTTCTCACCTGCCCGCAGCAGCTGGAAGGAGACATTGGGCACGGGGCCCTCGCAGCGCAGGACAGCGTCACGTCCTGCAGTCACAGCCCCACTCCACAGGGCATGGAGCTGTGGTTTGGGAGCGGGCCCTAGGCAGAGCAGCCTGGTCAGACAGGTAAGGTGCTGACCTCTAACAGCTGCCACCTCCAGCACCCGTACACCTGCCTGCCTCCCACTGAGGCCCAGGCTACTGGGCAGTTCTCATTCGCCTGATGAGAGGAGACAGTTTGTCACTGGACTCCTCTCACTAAGGTGACTGCACTGTGACTGCCTGTGTGTCGCCCTTTCCTTGGGACCTGCAAGTCCCCCACCGGAGCATGTGCTGAGATTTCTTGGAATCCCAAGGAGAGGAAAGGAAACGGGGTCCCTGGGTGCAGAGCATGGCACGCCAAGTCTGGGGGTGGAATCTGTGCCCTGGGGATCGACCCTTGCCTCTACCCAGTGGCCTCCTCCCCTGGCTCCCCCGCCTCTCATCCACATCCTGATGTGGACACTGGAGGAATTAACACGCCCAGGAATATGGGGACAGGGGTCCAGCCAGTGTGGGAATAATACTTTGCCAAATGTGGGTGCCAAGCCATGGGTGGGGGAGGGAGACCTCAAAGGGTGAAATCTGAATCCAGACTCCATCTTGGTGGAGTGCCCACGAGCCTGGAGACCCTCCCTAAGAAGGAGCCTCTCAGTGCCTTCACAAAACCTGAAGTCACTGGCCAGGTAGGAAGGACTCTGGCATCTCATTAACCCTACCCTGCCCTGGCCTCAGCTGGCCTTGCTCACCGTCCACCAACAGCTCCACAGGCGCACTGGGCTTGGAGCCCTTGAACGGTGAGGAGGGGTCCATGTAGAGGCAAGTGTAGTTGCCCGAATCGGCCACAGAGATGTCATGCAGCTCGAAGTGGGCCTCGGCGCTGGTGGGGCTCAGAAACTGCAGCACACGGTGGCCGTGGGCTTCCTGGCGAAGCAGGGCAAACCGCAGGTTGGCCCTGGGCGCCTGGCACTGCAGCTGCACCTGATCCCCACGACGGGGCCTGGGAGATGCTGGCTCCACAGATAGCTGGGGTGCTGGGAGAGACTCTGCAGAGAGGAAGCCAGTGTGACTCAGAGGGTCAGGCCCTGGGTGGGATATTGCTGCAAAACCCTGTCTCCACCAACACAGTGGGTTTTCTTTCCTCGGGTCTATGCTGCTGCCTATTGACTGCCATTAAACGGGTGGACAGGTCAAGGAGTGGTGGTGCTTGTCGCCGAGCCCAGGGCACACGATGGAATGGTGTCCATGCCACCAATCCCAGTCTGATGCCCTCAGCAAGTGACTTCGGAGACCGGCTGGACGTATGTGGAACACACGTGCAGGCTGACACTCTGGCCCCTCGGGGGCCAGGAGGTGCCTCTATTCTCCAATGCACAAGTTTGAGTTACTGCCCGGTGCTTACCATCGCTCAGCTGCAGCTCCAGGGGTGCACTGTCCTCGGACCAGTGGCTCTGCTTGCCGGTCAGTCGGTAGCGACAGGTGTAGAGTCCACCATCACCAGGAGCCAGAGCCTTCAAGTGCAGGAACACTCTGTCCGAGGAGGTGCTGCTCATCTCCACATGTTGCTCCTCCTTGCCCCTCCGCAGCTGGAAGCTCACACCCTCCAGCGGCGCCACGCAGTGAAGGGTCACATCCTCGCCTGGGCGCCTTAGCACTGAGCGCTCCCACCCCAGTGTCAGCCTTGGTGGTGGCAGTGTCGCTGCAGAGCGGCCAAGGTCACTGGGGCAGGCACGACAGGCCGCGAAAGCCCACCCTGCTGACCTCAGCAGCTACCTCCCACCACACCTTCCTTAGGCCCGGCTACCCTGATCTAGTCCCAGGCACTGACATATGATCTTGGGGTGGGGGGATCCCAGGCCCAGCCCGCGCCCGGGTTGTCGCCTCCAGGAAGTCCTTGGAAATGGCTGGCGGCTGCTCACCCAGCTCTTGAATAAGCACGGAGGCACTGGGTGGGGAGGGTGCACCCCCGGCGTGCAGGCGGTAACTGCAGCTGTAGTTGCCGGCCTGCTGGATCGGGAAGCTGGCCTCCCTGGAGTCTGGTGCCTGCGCCTCTTGCAGAACCTGATCCCAGCCTTCTCGTCTCAGCAGGAGAGTCACCCCTCGAAACTCCGCGCGGCACCGTAGGTTAGGCTTCAGGCCCTCCGTGATCCAGGACACCGTGGTGGCCTGGAGCGAGGGTGGAGGCAGGGACCCTGTGAGTGTGCAAAGTGGAAGAGACATTCAATACAAAGGGGTGAGGAGGTGAAAGGGACATGAGATGAGCACTGGGGCGCTGCAGAACATAAACGAGGAGCTAAGGCACAGGGGAGACCATTCTTGGAACCCAAGGAAGCCACATCCAGGTTCCAGCTCCCCACACCCCATTCTGTGTAGGAGACATTTCTAGGAACCGGCACCAAAATCCTCACCACCCCAGGGGTCGGTGCCACCCCTCCTGACCTGCATCGGTGGTGAGGAAAGGGGCTGGAGCCTATGTGACCCCATCTGACTCCACGCTCACTGGTCATCCGACTCCACGCTCACCTGGCCCTGTCACCTCCACCAGGTCGCTGAGCGGGGTCCAGCTGTCGTCCAGGCGGGAGCGGCAGCGGTAGAGGCCGCGAGTGGCCGCAGTCACAGCGCCGAGGGGAAAGCGTTGTTCTGTGGCGGGGGTGTCAAGGTGCACAGGCTCCAGGGCCACACCATCCTTGAAGAGCTGGAAAGCTGTGGTCCACTCGGGAGCCTGGCACAGCAGCTCCAGATGCGCCCAGGGGTCCTGCAGTGAGCCGGGCTCTGCCCACAGGGTGGGTCGCATCTCTGTGACTGCGAGTCAAAGCGCTGCGCGTGGGTCGCGGTCCAAGCCCACCCCCTCCCCCAGTCCAGCAGGCCCAACCCTACACCCCAGCCCTGGCCCCGCTCCAGCCCAGTGCACTCACAGACTGCGGTTTCGGCCGGGACAATCCCGGACAGACCTGTGAAGATAGCCCCATTGAGTCCGCGCCACAGCGCAGGTCCACCCACCCCTTCCCACCGTGCCACTTACTGGACAGGAGCAGGAGGGACAGGATGAGCGCCTTCATGCTGTCCAGCTGCCCTCCAACGCCGAGCGTGCCACATATATAGTCTGCGGGCGGGCGGGGGGGCGGGGGCTGACCTTACGGGAAAGCAGGGGTGGGGGAGGGGGGGGGCGGGCCCACAGCGGGCACAAAGGGCAAAACTCCCTTCTCTGCGGCTGGATGGCTGGATCGATATCCGTTAACCCGACCTGACCCTGGCCAGACCAAGCAGGAAATTAGAAGGAAAGGAGGACGGGCCTCGCTCAAAGCTGGAGCAGTTCTGCACGCAGTACACTGAGGGTCCATTCTTCTGCACGACCCACACACTGCAAAGCAACAGCAAATCCTAACGTAATCTAGAGGACTGTGAGGACCTGAGAGAAAGGACTGAGAGCATTAGATTCCCGGCATTGCACAGTGCCAGGAGCACCATCCAGAGCCTTCAAGCTTGATCTAGGAGTAACGCTGGGTTTGGCCAAAATCCAAAAGAGAAAAAAAATAATTTGGACCGAGTACAGTGGGTAGGGCACTTCATTGCCTCAGGTACCAGTGAGAAGCAGTGACTGCCAGCCTGCTGAGGTGCCTGACAGGGCATCTTTTCCTGAACAACCTTCATTTTATACATGGGAAAAGAGGTCAAGGCGTTGGTGAAACTTGCCCAGAGTCATACAACTACTTTTAAGCTAAGCCAAGTCTAGGACAAGGATTCTTTCCATTAACACCATCAGGGACCAGAGAGAGAGAGAGAGAGAGAGAGTTAGTTCAGCAGGTAAGGAACTTACCTTGCACACAGCAGGCCAGATTTGATCCACGGCATCCCATATGGTCCCGAGCCTGCCAGGAGTGATTCCTGATTGCAGGGCCAGGAGTTAGCCCTGAGCATTGCTAGCTGTGGCCTAAAAACAAACCAAGAACCACTATTATCATCTCACTTATGGGGCCCTTCAAAATTCACAGAGGGGGGCTGGAGCAATTGCACAGCTGGTAGGGCATTTGCCTTGCACATGGCCGACTCGGGTTCGATTCCCAGCATCCCATATGGTCCCCTGAGCACCGCCAAGAGTAATTCCTGAATGCATGAGCCAGGAGTAATTCCTGTGCAACGCCAGGTGTCACCCAAAAAACAACAACAACAAAAAAAATAGCACAATTCACAGAGGGCCTACACCTCCACTCCCATATATATTTTACTACATCCATGATGTCAAGATGGTTTTTCACCTTCTCTGTCCACAGAAGCTTTTCTGCATTCTTAGTTCTGTATTACAGCAGTTGATTCTACACTGACCCGTAAATGAAAGGGTCAATCCCATCAGGCATCCCATATGATTCTTAAGCCCTGCTAGAAATGATCCCTGAGCGTTGAGCCAGGAGTAATCCTGAGTATACCAGGTCTAGCCCAAAAACAAAACAAAAAATATAAATTTCTAAGTTATTGACACTTCAGTATTGCTGCACATAGAAATTTTTACAATTTTAAGAGGATGGGAGTATTGGGAGGCTACCTTTTCCCAGCTCTCATTCAGAAGGCACAGCAGTCTCTTGTTCCTCATGTATGTTCTGTGGTTAAGTCTTCCAAACAACAAAAACAAGACCAATCCATTTCTCTCTCTGGAAAATGCGCCTCTATAATGTTCCTTTATTGTTAGCACATACATGAAGGTATGGCTATATGGACTTTAAAAAAGAACTGGGCTGGGGGCTGGAGCGATAGCACAGTGGGTAAGGTGTTTGCCTTGTACGAGCCCGACCCGGGTTCGATTCCCAGCATCCCATATGGTCCCCTGAGCACCGCCAGGGGTGACTCCTGAGTGCAGAGCCAGGAGTAACCCCTGTGCGTCACTTGGTGTGACCCAAAAAGCAAAAAAAAAAAAAAAAAAAAAAGAAGAACCGGGCTGGCAAAGTATTACAGTAGTTAGGGCACTTACCTTGCAGGTAGATGACCCGGGTTCTATCCCCCAGCATTCCATATGGCCCCCTTAGCCCCTTAGCTCACCAAGAGCAATCCCTAAGAGCAGAGCCAGGAGTATGCCCTGAACACTGCCAGTGGCCAAATACTTGAGGAAAACAGCTGAATGTGTCAGAGGTGGCCTTATAGGTGGCCCTAGCTTATCCCTGGCACCACAGAACCCAAGCTCTCCAGAACTATGTGTTACCTAAGTCCAAAGCACTGGTAGCCTGAGCCCTTGTCAGATCCACATGGCTGTCTCGTGGCCCCAGGCCTCAGGCACTGCCTACAGAACAGAATGAAACATTGCACAAGATGTTCCTACCTTGATGTACTGGGGTGAATGTTCCAAGCAGGTCTATGAGCCCTGTCTGCAATAGCTGTGGTCCTGTCAGGAACAGATGGAGGCGTGTGAGTGTTTTATGTATTTTCTTAAAAAAATTTTTGAGCCATACTGGACCCTGCTCAGGTGTCATCCTTGGCACTGTGCTCAGGGAAGGTAACTCCTGGTGGGGTTAGGTGACTATATGCAGTGCCTGGGATTGAGCCTGGGTCAGCTGCAAGGCAAAAACCTTCCAAGTGTACTATTACTTGTTAAATCAGGCTGAGATCTCCCCAGAGGAATCACACAAAAACAAGTTGCGATGCAGTAAGCAAAGGTCTTTATTGGCTAGCTCGAGCTAGGGCCCTCGTCCGACTCACCAACACAGTGGCAGCCTTCTTGGAACAAGCAGCCCCAACTCTTTTATACCATAACATCATATATATATAACAGGGACTTTCCACAGACCACCCTTTTGGCCACAGTCTGAGGGGCTTTTTCTGATTTTTAGTTTTTTTTTTGCTTTTTGGGTCACACCTGGCAATGCACAGGATTCATTCCTCACTCTGCACTCAGGAATTACTCCTGGCATTGCTCAAGGGACCATATGGGATGCTGGGAATCGAACCAGGGTTGGCCACATGCATGACAAACACCCTACCCTCTGTGCTACTGCTCCAGCCCCTTGGTGGCTTTTCACTACTTAGCTGAATGGTTATAAGTTGGAGTTATGTAAGGGTTGCATAAGAGTTACATAAGGGTTATATGGGGGGGCTTCCCTACCTGCATCTGATTGGTAACCCTTAGTGGAACTCCCCATGGCTATCTCACTTCGGGGAAATCATGACTAAATTCCAGGTATCTGTGCTCAATTCCAGGAATTCTGGAACCAAAGCGTAGACCTAGCTTCTGGCTTCTTTCTTTCTTTCTTTTTGCTTTTTGGGTCACACTTGGCGATGCACAGGGGTTACTCCTGGTTCTGCACTCAGGAATTACCCCCGTTGGTGCTCAGGGGACCATATGGGATGATGGGAATCGAACCCATATTGGCCGTGTGCAAGGAAAACGCCCTACCCACTGTGCTATTGCTCCAGCGTCGCTTCTGGCTTCTTTATGAGCCTGTCATGGCTCTGACTTTGCTTCTCTCTATTTGTCACACTCCCTACCCATTTCACCCTTAAAATTTTGGTGGGGTGGGTTGGGAAGGTCCCATCATGAGGCATTCCCCAGTGGTTCTCAGTGGACAGTTGGTTCTAGATTGGACCTGGGTCTCCCACATGCAAAGCATATGCTCCACTCCTTTGGGGGCTCTCTCTGGCCTTCCAAACAACTTTTGTGGGTATTTGTTTGTTTGTTCTGTTTTTTGGGGGTCATATCCAGCAGTGCTCAGGGCTTACTCTAGGCTTTATGCTCAGGGATCACTCCTGACAGGGCTCAAGGGACCATTTGTGGTTTTGGGGATCAAACCTAGGTCAACTGCATGCAAGTCAAGCACTGTCTTTAACCTTTGTACTATCTGTCTCAAAACAATACATCTGTAATAAGAACAAAAGGGTCTACAAAACTTCTAGGTAAATAAATATAAAACAAGAATGCAGGAAGCCTAGGTTCCATCTGTGGCACCAGGTGCTCCTCTGAGCTTCCTGCAAGAAGCCAAGAACAGGCCACCTGCATTCCAGGAAGGGGTTCAGTGCAAGAGCGCAGCCAGGTTAGTAGTCAAAGCCCCACGCAGAGAAGGACATGAGTGGATTCCTGGCAGTTTACCGATGTCTCTAGGGCAGACTCCAGCCCTTACTGTGTGCTTAACAGGAGGATAATACTGGTTTCTATGGAACCTAATCTTTGGAGGGAATTAGGACTTCCTCAATTGTGCAACCCTGAAACCCCCATTCTTTTGGCATGACACCAGGCTGTTCAGTGTAAGACGATAGGCCCCACACGCCACCACTCCTGCCCCCAAAGTTTCCACTCTGGGGAATATGCTCTCCCCCTCCAGTCATACCCTGGCGTCTGCCCAGGCTTGCACAACTGCTGTCGGCCAACGCGGATCCTAGAACAGCATCCAGCAGAACCTCCGGATATTCCGGTACCTGGAAGTCAAGGACTTCCTTGGTGCGAGGAGACATTAGTTTTCACAGATGTGTGGAAAAGCTGGATTGTGACAAGGAACGAAGTTGGAAGGTCAGTGTCGGCCACTGGGTGGTGAATTTGAGTCCGGGAGTGGTGACAAAGGGTCCTGGACCCTATGCAGCTGGCGAGACGCGGGAGCCACGACTAGCGTTCACGAACGCCCCCGGAACGGTAAGCCCCGACAGCCTCTGCGAGCCGGACTCGCAAAGTGAGCACCGGAAATGGGCGCCGGGCACGGCACCTCGCGGCTGGCGGCGGCAACGAACGACTGAGGGACCCCACTTCGCCAGCCGGGGTCACTGTTCCACGCAGAATGTAACTCGCTACCGGAGAGCGCACGCCTCCCCACTTCGTGCGTGGAGGAGTTGCGGTCACCGGGGGCGGGCAGGCCGGAGCTGCTGAAAGGTAGTCTAGTCACGCCCACCAGTGTGCGGTTCTTGGTTGCTGTGGCAACACCAGCCCATTCTCTGTTGGCCTATTGTGAGTCAGCGAGGAACAAGAAGAACCGCCCCCTGCCCGGTCGAAGCGGGCGATTGGCTATGGTGATGATGAACAGCCCTCCTTCCAATAAAGGAAGAGAGCGCACCCCCGTGCTAGACCTGCCATTTCCTGGGACTGAAATTTGAACCGGCGAGGTCTTCGTATATGTACCCTGTGAGCACCTTGTGAACACGTTACTCGCTTGAGCGCTGAAATCGGAATCTGGTGTCAAAACTGCTTAAGCCTGGAGAGATGGTACAGTGCGGAGGGCGTTTGCCTTGCGCCCGGCCGACCCGTGTTTGTTCCCGAGAACCACGTAAGGCCCCTCAAGCTCCTCCACGAGTGGTCCTTGACCAGAGCCCGGAGTAAGCCTTAAGCAAAGCCAGGTGTGGACCAAAATCAAAAGGAAAAAGACAGGGAGTCGCTCCAAAAGCTGGAGATGACTGGGGCAGTCTAAGACAAGGTGCACAATGGGATTTCATAAAAGAATGGGCCACCCAATTTAGAGAGCATCATAAAGCAGTTAAGTTTGTTTGTTTTGGCTTTTTGGGTCACATCTGCCATGCTCAGGGTTAATCCTGGCTCTGCATCAGGAATTGCTCCTGGCGGTGCTTGGGGTGCCATACGGACTGCTGAAGCTTGAACTCATCCGCATGCAAGGCTAGAGCCCCACTCTCTGTACTCAGGCCCAGTTCTCTTTTGGGCCTGGATCCACCCACTTTTAAATATGCAGCATGGGAAAAAAGCAGCCTTGAGCCAAATTCTTAGCCTTTAGGGGCCTCAGAAATCTGTATTTTATCCAGCTCTGTCACCATTCACAATTATCTTAGGAATCAAAATGAATGTGGGGTTCACAATCTCAAAAGAGCTCACAGCTTTCCAGGGTGCAGCTGCTTTAAACATGGCCAACCTGGTTATCTGCCTAGTCCAAGATTCCCAGCTTTGCTTCTCCCAGGCACCACTGGAGGTGACAGAGCAGGGCCTGAGCAGACATGCATAGCTCCTGGTACTGAACCAGCACCATGCTGGCTGAGAGTCTCAGGGAGAAGCCCTAAAACAACAAAAATAGGGCAAACTGTACAGGAGGTTAAGTCTGTGTGGACTGTGACCTGATTGGAATCCCATGTACACAGAACCAGAATTGACCCCTGAGCATGCAGGATATATCCCCTGCCCAGCCCTCCACTCTCTGTTCCATGCTCTCTCTTTTTTGGGGGAGGGGTTACTGGGCCACTCCCCCTCCACCCGCAGTGCTCTGGGATCATTCCTGGCAGTGCTCTGGGGTGTCAGGTATTGAACCCCGAGGCAACAGCCTGCAAGCCAAGTGCTGTACCTGCTGTATTCTCTTCGGCACCTCATCTGTCTTTATCCCCAGTGCCCCAGTTTAGGGCATGAGTTTGGTTCTGGTTCATTATTGTCACTTGAATCCTGCACATTCTGCCTCCTCCACACCATCAGCCTTTCCCACCCCAGAAGACCCTAAATCTCATTCTGTAGGTGAATAAATTAAATGGGACATAGATCTGTCCACTGAGCATTGGACAGGTCCTGGGTACCTTTCCCTGCTTAAGGTCTATTACCAATAGTCACTTAAGGTGACATGAAAAGTGACCGAGAGGGAGCCTTGAGTCTATCTGGATCATGTCCTTCAGCTGTAGCATGAACTGTGAGTAACAACAATCAGAAAGTCTCCCTTCTGCTATGTCCCTAGAATTGGAACAGAGGTAGGGGCAACCCTATAAACTGGTCAAGGGCTGAAACTGCAGTTGCCGTGCACCTCTGTGTGCCCAGGAAGGCACTGATATCTCCGAGACAGTCCTAGAACCATTACAGATATATACATATATATATATATATATTTATTTATTTATTTTTTTGAGGAGGGGATTCATACCGGTAGGTACTCAGGAGTTACTCCTACCTCTGCGCTCAAGTATCTTTCCAGGCGGGAAACTCACACCCGCTCCCGGGCGGCTCTAGCTGGGGGAGGGGAAGAATGGGGACGGAGGTGTAGGGGATTTAGGGGCAGAACCGGTGTGCGCCAAAGGCCTTCTCTCCCCGTTGCCGCGGATCACAGGGAGGGAGAAGTTAGAGGCCAGTGCAACGCTGCACCATTCCGACCCGCTCCTGTGCAGGATACTGGCATAAATGCAGGAAAGGCGCGCTGTCCCCGTGGAAGCGGGTGGGCACAGTCCCGGTTCCGCGCGGACGGCTCTTCCCCACTTGGCCGCGCGTCTCGAAGGGGCAGGAGACACGGGGATCGCCAAGAGGATACGGAGCGATTTATATTTCCTGGAGTATTGTGAAGGGAGTCATGCCGAAGAGTAGCCCGCAGAGGGCAGCCGCGCCTAAGGACCGAGGGTCCCTTCAGTCGGCCGCGAATCTCCTGCGCTCGTACGGAAGTGGCGCCCAGCCGGCAGGCACGATCGCTCTACCTCCTCGAGACCAGGGAAGTGTCTGGCTACCCCGCTCGACATCGCGGGCTAGCGGGATCGGGGCAGCCGACAGAAAGTGCACCAGAAGCACTCGCTGACGTCCGCGATGGCGGCCCACAAGAACTGGGAATCCGTACGACTAGGACGTTAGATTACCGCCCCGCACGCCTCTGGGCCACTTCTGCGAGTGCGCATGTGCAAGCGTTCTACGTCAGCTTGGGCGCCGAGTTCGCCTTTATATTCTTGCTCCAGATTGGCCCGTGAACTCACGCTGTCCTCGCACGCACGCGTCGCTCCAGCTGACCCGGAAGTTATCGTTTGAGTTAAAAGCGTGGCCCCGCGGAATACGTCCTTTTCCTGTCCGTACTGAGGCGACGCGTGGTCCTCATCGCGTGTTGAAGACGCCCCGGCTGGGTCTTCAGGTGAGGGTCCCGCGGGGATCTGGACCCCAGGGAAGAGACCTGGCCCAATACCTTTACGGAACCTGGGCGAATTCTGAGTCGCGGCGAGACTCTTAAGTTCTCTTGAGGCTTTTCTCCGCCAAAGAGGCACTGAGAAAATGGCCGCAAGGTTCTTAGAAGTTACTCCGGGACTCCTTGCTTGTGCTCCCCTCTCTTCCCCCGGTCTCCGTAACTGCTTTGTGACGGAGCTCAGTTCCCATTTTGTTTTGCACTTGGTTCCGTTGCGTTTTATATACAAGATGTAGTACGCGGTGCGCGAGGTGCCCCCCGCCCCCTGCCCCCCCCCTCCCCGCTACGGCAACCTTGGCACCTCTTCAGTGTCAGATCAAGAAGAAAACTTAATGATTTGACTGGGAGTCCGTGCAGTCACCCTAATGCAGATAACGTGCCCTTTTGGCAAGGAACCTCGGATAAAAGACGTTCGTTAACTGTTACCTAGATCCGTTGCTAGCTAATAGGATGGCTGGATTTGTAGTCGTGGATGAAGTGTCAGGCATTTGGCGTCCTCTACTGCGGCCGCAAGTCCGGTGTCTGCTGGTAATCCTGGGACACTTAGCGATTTTACTAGGGTCAGGAAGGACGGAACCAGGCTTTGGGACCCTTACGTGGATCCTATGGGCCCGCCTCGGTGGAATGCAGACACGCCTATCTGACTCTGCATCTATCCTTAGGATGACAGAGTGGGAGACAGCTGCACCTGCAGTGGCAGAGACGCCTGACATCAAGCTCTTCGGGAAGTGGAGCACTGACGATGTGCAGATAAATGACATTTCCTTGCAGGTGAGGGGTACATATGTCGGAGCGCTTTTTTGGGGGAGGGGCGGTAACATCTGGCCATGAACAGGGATTACTCTTGGCTCTGCACTCAGAAGTTACTCCTGGCGGTGCTTGGAAGACCATATGTGATGCTGGGAATCAAACCCAGGTCAGCCGTGTGCAAGGCAAATGCCCTACCGGCTGTGCTCACTTTCCAGCTCCCTGTCAGTGCTTCTTGTGTGAAATAAAAATGCTGGTTCATTGGGGCTGGATAGAGAATTCAATGGGTAAGGTGCCAACCAAAATTGAAAAAAAAAATTGGTTCTCAGATTTTATGGCAGTGTTTGAATCCATGTAATCTGGTTTCGAAATGGGCCTAATGTCATGGACACTGCTAATTCTACAGTGTGCAGTGTAGCCCCCCTAGCAGTGCTCCACGATCTGAAGACTAGTATAATTTAAGGAACACGTTTTGATTTTTTTACTGGGGGAGGTACATTCTTGTTGGTGTTCAGAACCACATAGTGTTGCAGACAGAACCCAGGTCTTGGATGGGTGATTTGCGCGTGAGCCCTGTCAGCTATTTCCTTGGCCTGAGGAACATTTAAAGTTGAAGTCAAGGGTGTTTCCTACCTCATCTATTTTCAACCCGTTATAAATGTATTTTTCTGGTAAGTCAGTTTAGAACTGTCCTTAAGTGGCTGCTTGCTCCCGTGGTTTCCTGCTCATGATCCATCCTCACCATGGCTCTCTCTCCTACTTCTACTCCAGGATTACATCGCTGTGAAGGAGAAGTATGCCAAGTACCTGCCTCACAGTGCAGGGCGCTATGCTGCCAAGCGCTTCCGCAAAGCACAGTGCCCCATCGTGGAGCGCCTCACCAACTCCATGATGATGCACGGTCGCAACAATGGCAAGAAACTTATGACTGTCCGTATTGTCAAGCATGCTTTTGAGATCATCCATCTGCTCACTGGTGAGGTAAGACTGAGGCAAGGTGGAGTCCAGAGTAATCTTGAAATCCAAAACCTCCTATACTTGGTCTGGGTCTTAGGATTTAGAAATGAGCTGCAGGCCAGTTGTTCAGATTCACAGGATCCTCCCCCCTTTCTAGAACCCTCTGCAGGTCCTGGTGAATGCCATCATCAACAGTGGCCCCAGAGAGGACTCGACCAGAATTGGAAGAGCTGGGACAGTGAGGCGGCAGGCTGTGGATGTGTCTCCATTGCGCAGAGTGAATCAGGTGGGCCTGGGGAACAAGATGAGTGGGTGAAGGGCTCATCCCTGCCTGCATATTTTACCAGTTAAGTCATTTCATCCAGGAAGCCTTCCTGAATTCCTGTCTCATACATGGCATATTCTAGCATTGGTTCTCTCTGGATGAGAGGTGGGGGAGTGTGTATTTTCTTGAACATAAAATCACATTCTGGTAATCTGTTTTTGGGTCACACCCAGCTTGGTGGGGGGGGGGGGTTAGAGTTAGGCAAATACACCAGTGCTAAGGGCTTGCTCCTAGTTCTGTGCTCATGTATCACTCCTCGTGGCTTGGGGAATCATATGGATGTCAGGAATTGAAACCAGGGAAGGCAAGCACCCTATTGTACTGTTGCTTTAGCCCCACACCAAGCTGTGTTTTGGTATCATTTCTATTGATTCTTTGGGGGCTGTGTGGAGCTAGAGTTTAATTACCTTGTTCACGTCGGTGCATATCAGGCACCTCATACTTGATGTGGCATTTTTGAGAAGTCTCTGCCAGTGACGGTATTAAACACAGGCCTCCTTTACCCTTTGAGTTATCTTCCCTGCTTAGTTACTAACATTCTGACCATTTCCCCCCATACCAATTGGTATAGGGGTGTCTTTTGGGTTTCTCCAAAGAATAAGGATATTATTTCCCAACTGTCACAAGGAAATGGGGGGGGCAATTGGGCTGTACCTTCAGGTCCACCCTCAATTCTGAGGGACCATCTGATGCCAAGAATCTGGTTCGGTTATGCAATGTAAACGTCTTAACACCTTAAACGGTTTTTTTTTGTTTTTTGTTTTTTGTTTTTGTTTTGAGGTGGGTTGGGGTATTTCCCATGCAGTGGCTGGGGTGGCTCTGGAGGTCATTCGGTGTGATGATACCAACTGGACCACACAGTTCAGTGCTAGGACCAGGTGGTATGGCAATGTTTGGTGGATCATATGGTGCCAGAATCAAACTTGGGACTTTGCCTGTGAAAGGCACATACCCTTGAGCTTGCTCTGTGGCACGTTCCTGCATCCTTTTTTTTTCTTGTGGCCGCCTTTGCTCTGATCCCAGATTGGGCAGTGCAACGAGCTCTTAATTTGTGTGCCTTGTCTCTATGGGCCTGAGGATGGCCACATGTTGGACATCATTTGTTGGGGCTTGTGGAATGTGGAGGAGCACATCTGCGTTATCACTTGGTCACCCCCTGCGAGGCAGTTCAGCTGACCCGTGTGCATGTATCTCCTAGGCCATCTGGCTGCTGTGCACAGGAGCCCGTGAGGCTGCCTTCCGGAACATCAAGACCATTGCAGAGTGCCTGGCCGACGAGCTCATCAATGCAGCCAAGGTGAGTGAGTAGAGCTTGGGGTTTCAGAGATTGATTGATAGGGGGGGTGGGCATATCTGGTAGTGCCCAGGGATCTCTCCTGGCAGGCCTTGGGAAGGCATATTGGGTACTAAGGATCAAACCCTGGTTCAACACTTGCAAGGCAGACACTACCATCTGTACTGTTTCTCCAACTCCCAGATCTCTGATCCTATTGAACATTCAGAACTAATCTGCCTCTTTGGAGAATTAACCATCTATCTGCCTCTTTGTTTGTAGGGTTCTTCTAATTCGTATGCTATCAAGAAGAAGGATGAACTCGAACGTGTGGCCAAATCCAACCGTTGATCACGAGGCTGCTGTTTCAATAAACTTGTCTGTCTTTTGGGACAGCCCCACCCATTTGTACTATTCTCCTTGGGGTTGGGGCTAGTTTCGAGCAGTAGGATAGAGTGACTTAGGTACTCTTTGGAATGGCTCAGATTCCTGCCCTTTGGGGGACCAGGCTTTTAGAGCATGACTGACTTAGAGAACCATGGCACCTGGGTGAAGCCCTTGTTCCTGCCATTGCTGGAAATAGGGGTGGTGGTGTTCTGGGGGGTCTGCCTGATGTCCTGATAGGTGTTACCTGGGGTCAGGACCTTTCCTGTGGCCATGCGTCTTCCACAGGATCCAAGCTGCAGCCAGGAATCTTTATACTATAGGGTTATGGCTGCCTCTTTTCTTCACCTCATTTTGCCATTTTCCCACCACCCCCGCCATCCGGCCAAGTCAGGCTTGGTGTTCACCCTGGTGATACCTGCTTGCGTGCAGGGCGGGCTGTCAGGCAGGTCTGGCTGGAACCTGGGGAGGCAGCCATTGGCCCACACCCACCCCTAGGGCGGGGCAGCATAGTACCCAGCCTCTGGAGGTAGGGACCAGGGATCAGAACAGGCTACCGATATACCAGCCAGAGAAGGACCTTCCAGGTAGGAAGAACCAGGGCCCTGGGGGAGTCCTCACTTGTTCTCTTGGGGGTTGGTGGAACAATCCCTGTGCTGGGATGAAGCCCATCTTCCAGGGCTACGTTACGGGTATCTGGTGCTATGGCCCTGGTTCCAGTTTGCCTCTACTGAAGGGCCCCAGGTCCCATCCCTGACTTTTGTGGGAACCACTTAACCACTGGGCTTTCCACCTCTACCTTTCTGGGTTGTGACCCACATCTCCCCACAGGTCTGGTCTTGATGCCCTGTCCCCGGCCACCGTGGCTATGCTGCTCCCACGCCCCTCCCAGCCCCAGCCCTGGCTCCCCAAATTCTCCTGCGCCTCCCACCCCGGGCAGTGGGGAGGCTGGGGAGGAGGATGAGGATGAAGATGCTGAAGGCAGCCAGGGCGCAGGCCCCATCCTGCCCCCAGTGTCTCCCACCGAGTGCCTTATCTGCGTGTCCGCCTTTGACGGTGTGTACAAGCTGCCCAAACGTCTGGATTGTGGCCATGTCTTCTGCCTCGAGTGCCTCGCGCGCCTGTCGCTGGCCACAGCGGGTGGTGGGGATGCAGTGGCCTGTCCGGTGTGCCGTGCACCCACGCGCCTGGCGCCGCGCCGCGGACTGCCCGCACTGCCCACACAGGCCAGCCTCCTGCCCCGCGACCCCCGCGGCCCGCCATGGCTGGGCTCCGTGCGCTTCGACCGCCGCCGCGGCCTCCTCTACTTGGGGCCGCCGCCGCCCGGGCCCACACCCCGCAAAGCCCGAGGGCCGCCGCCGCCACCTCCGCCACCTCCGCCACTGCGCCTGGGCCGGCCACTCTCGCGCCGACTGACGCTGTCCAGCCAGGCCTGGGCTTTCAACGCGGCCGTGGCGCTGGCCGTGTTGGTGGCCGCCGGCCTGGTGGTCTCTGGCGTCTACATTTTCTTCCTCATCCCGCATGCTGCCGCCTCGGGCCCCGCGCGGCCGCAGCTCGTGGCACTTGCCCCAGCGCCGGGTTTCTCCTGGCTCCCGCCACGGCCCGCACCTGGGCCGCCCTGGACTTCTGCTTGGACACCGCAGCCCACGGGTCCAAGCGTGGACGCCACATCGCTGGAGAGCGCGGGGACACCTGTGGGATCCGAAGAAGCCAAGAGGCCGGCAGACTGGCGCCCGAGCAGCCCAGGAGACTCACAGTGGACCCCAGGCCACACGGGGGATGAGGATGTGCTCCGAGGCAGCCCAGGGGACGCACTGTAGCCCCTTGGAGGGTCCGCGGACAGTCACTGGCCCTGGGCTACACAGGGGGCATCTAGACTAGAACGGCCCCAGCTGGGTCCTGGGGCTCGCGGTGGGAGGCACAGGGCACCTTAGTCACGGTGCCTGTCTGGGGCGGGGACTGGCCTAGATCCTTCTGAGGGCGGGCGCGAGACCTGCCCCAGAAGCTGCTATGTTCCCTGGGGACTCAAGAAGGAGGTGACCCTGTGATAACAGCCCGGCTCCATCAGCAGGAAGGAAGAGCACTCTGTTCTGTGGTGGTCTTGGACACTCAGATTACTGTGTGCAACCTGCTAGCCGCCAGACATCATCTGGGCACTGACAGCATGTGGGACCTTGCTGCAGCTCTATCATCTTGTACATGCAGGGAGGTAGAAACCACTGCACTGCTCCATCCTGTCAGGCTCCTTCAGCTTTTCTGGCCCTTCCTCCATATTTCCTTTTGTTTTTCCCTTTTGGGTGTGCCAGGAGGTGAATCAAGAGCTTTACACAGGTGTAGTGAGTGTTCTGTCACTGAACCACATCTTTGTCCCATCCTTTCTTTCTCTGTATGGCAGCCTACAGGGAGAATGTCTCATGGACTCTTCTGGAAGCCTTCCTGGACAGTTGGTGGCCACCTTCAGCACAAACTGAACAGGATTCTGGGACCTCCTCCTACCTCTCCATTCAGGGGTGGGTGCTATGTGTTGGGTATGAGCATTCAATATTTTTCCAGAAAGAAATTCTTGTATGTATGGGGCTGGAGGCGTCTATTAGAGTTGTTTATGTGTGTTCTCAATGGCTAACATACAGTGAGTACCAAACATCTGGGTAGTGACAGTGTTGCCAAGGGCTGACAGGAGTCCTGGAAATGGCTGCTGACACCTTGGGTGGTCCGCTGTCTGCCTGCCCAAAAGGTCAGAGAAGTCCTTCCAGTGCAATCTGCTGCTTCCAGGAGAGGAGAGAAGGAACTTAAGGGAATCAGAGGGAGTGCCTTCATAGGTCAGTTTTTGGTCTATGACTGGTTTTCAGGTCACCCATAGGGACCAGGAAAGTGGCAGAACACTGGGCAGACAAAGCCCAGCCCACAGGGAGGGGACCTGTTTGGGCAGGAGCTGAAGTGGCCTCTGTCTTCGCTCTCTCTGCTGACCTCAGCATATCGCCACCACTGTGGTTGATTCTCTTGTACTTCTGCAGGTCAGAAGTCTTGAAGTAGTTTCACCAGGCAAAGACTGAGATGTCCACAGGACTAGTTCTTCTGGAGCTTCTCATGAATTCATGAGAAATAGTGTTTCCAACATTTAGAGTCATATGGCTTCTTCCTCTGTCTTCAAATCTCTGTGATGCTCCTCCTTTCCTGCTTCATTCCCCGGGCACCATGCCTTCACTAAACCTGCTAAGAAATCCAGGACGGTTGCCCTACCTTCACCTCCTTGATCACAAGTATAAAGTTCATTTTTCTATGTAAGATCCAGTGAGGAGATGGATCTCTGGAATCTGGGTATTTTACTCAGATATTAGAGCATCTTTTCTAACCCCCTCATTTCCCCTCTTTTCCACCCCAGGGTGGGAGAGTGGAGAAGGACAAGGTTAAGACTTGGCAGGGATGGAGTCAGAGGTCAGGAAGAGGCTACTTGGAAGAAAGACCTTAGAGTTATCTCTTCAAAGATGCTCAGGGGAAACAAGAACTGGCACTGAGGCAGAGGCCTGGGGCATCAAGACAGTGGGTGAAGGCAGTGGGCAGGAATGACCCACTTACTCCCTGCCCCTCCCTATCCCCCCTAGAGCTGGCAGGAAAGCACTCAGTCTCTGTCTCTCAGTGGGGAGCTGAAGTCCTCACTCTGCCATAAAATGCCTCTGATGACAAAGTCCAGGGTTGGTGAGCATCTCTATTTGCTGACTACTACTTTGGGTTTATCCATCAACTTCCCATAAACAAAGGGAGTCACGGGGGACTCCTCATCTTACCCAGCCACTTCTGTGATGACCTGGAACTTTTTCTCTTCCCAGTCTTGCCTCACCCTATTCCATCCATAAGCAATCCTTACTTGGCTCCAAGCTTGCTCCTCACCCCAGGACTGGTGCTGGTGAGTACTCAGAGGGAGTCAAAGACTGCCATAGCACCAGATAGGCCTTGATCAGCTTAGTTTTGTTTGCCTTGCTGTAAAATGGGAAACAATAAACATCCTTACTTGCAGTGAGAATTTGTGCAGCAGTATTTATTGAACACCTGCTAAGGAGCAAATGGGGATCACATATGGCAGAGGCTGAACAGAGGGTTCATCTTCCGACCCACATTGCTCCCGGGCCCTCATCTATCTCACCCCTTCCCTTGAGTCTGTAAGGGAGTCAGTCAGGTGCTTCATTCCCCAGGGTCAAAAAGGAGAGGGACAGGATAGTGCTTGTCTTGAGTCCTGTCTGGGGTAACCCATATTCGAATCCTCGAGCACCGCCAGAGGCCACTTCAGAGTACAGAGCCAGGCGTAAGTCCTGAACCCCGCCTCACGCAAATAAATATCTAAATCCCAATTGCGGACCTTCCCCGACTTTCCCTTCTACTGCCAGGATCCTTCCAACTGTTCACTGAATTTGAGCAGGGACGCTTTTGAGCCTCTATAAGTGGACCCAACTTGAGCCTCTGTAACTGAGCCCACATTCCGCTCCGGACACCCTATGTGGTGCAGACCTACGGGGCAGCCTTTCAAAAAGCGGAAAGGCAAGACCCTCCAAAGGCGCGCTGAAGCCCTCCCCGAGTTCTGCGCCAAAGATCCAGCCCAAACCCACCCTGAGAAGCCCCGCCCCAAAAGCGCCCCGCGCCCGGACACGGCCCCTTCCCGTGCCGTCTGGACACCTTTTTCCGGGCTGTCCTTCGCGTCACCAAAACGAGCGCTGGGCGAGATCATGTAACCACGCGCCCGGCATCACACCCCCTGTGGCCTAGACAACAAATTTGAAGGAAGCATGAAGATTACGTCCAGGCCGCTGATTCGTGAGTGCAGGGCAGGGGAGGTCCGTTTTCCGGCGACACGGGCGCGCTCCGTCTACGGCCGTGGGTGGGCGGGGCGAACGACTGGGGCGTGGTGGCGCGGGCGTGGCCGGTGCTGGAGGCCCCGCCCCGAGGAAGGGCTGTGACCCTCTCCTGGCTCCCGCCCAGCGCGCAAACTGGAACCTTAGCGCAGTGGCTCTACCTTCCTGAAGCCTCTGTCGCGGTGCGTTGGCCTCCACGCCCGCTTCCGCCTCCCGGGGATTTCGAGGCACATCGTAAGCAGAAGGGTCATCAGTTGGCAGGCTGGTAAGGATCTTCCGAGTCCGGCAGGGCCCCACCCGCCCATGGTTTCCGTGGCGGAGGAGGTGCAGGTGAGAGGAAGAGCGCCAGGACCCTCCCCGGGTTCGAGTGCCCGACTGAATGTGGACTCGGAGACCCGCGTGCGGTTTCGAACTATGGGTGGTTGAAGCCAGGAACGAGCCTGACTTTTGGGTTCCATTGTAGACATGGGGGTGTCCTGGGCAGGACCGGGGCAGGATGGGATGATGGGTGGTGAGCTGTACTTGGGTTGAAGAGAAGCAGCATGCATAGATTTGAAAGTGTGTGCTAGGACTGAAGCCATAGTACATGGGGTCAGGAGCTTGTCTTGCGTGCAGCCACCCAGGTTCAATCCCTGGAATTGAATAGGGTCCTGCGAACCCAGCTAGGAGTGATTGCTGGATGTGGCCCACCCCCCCTTCCGACCCCCCAAAATATGTGTTTGTGGGTAGGAGGGTCAACTGGAAGGGCCTGCGAACCAGGTGGCTACTTGCCCCAAGAGAGTGGGTGACTTGGGTCTGGTTGTAGAAAGGTCATCAAGGGTTCCCAGCATGAATTAGTTTTGTGTCTGCCTGGTTGTTCATGTAGTTGCAGTGGATACATGCAGAGTCCAGCACTTACATGAGACTGAGACATGCCCTTTAACACTCTGGCTTTTCAGTGATCTGCTTAGCGGAGGTTCTTAGGAGGTGAGGGGTTCGTGGGTGTGAGTGGGGTATGGAGATTGGATTTCAAAGGGAACGATGAGGGCTGGGACAGTAGTATGGCAGGTAGCGTGCTTACCTTGCACAAGGCTGACCTGGATTAGATTCATGGCATCCCATGTGGTCTCCCAGCTCCACCAGGATTCCTGAGTGCAGAGCAAAGAGTGACCCCTGAGCACTGCCAGGTGTGGCCTCAAAAAGTCAATTTTTAAAAAAGGAAAGGTGATGTCAGTGAAAGATACAGTAGGGCCCTGAGACACAGGTTAGGATCCTGGATGTATCCTTCTGCTCCATTTTTTGTTGACTTTTCTGTCCACTGTTGATCCAAGATGCAGTTGAAATCTGAGGATGTGGCTGTGCATTTTTCCCTGAAGGAGTGGACACTTCTTAATTTGACCCAGAAGAGGCTCTACCAAGATGTGATGCTGGAGAACTTGTAGGGTCCCTGGGTAAGTTTCTCATCCTCTCCCACAGCAAACTGAAGCACCTTGCCTTTTCTCCTCAGGGAGCTCACCATGGAGGCTACCTCCTTCTCAGGCCCCTATTCTTGTTGCAATGAATCTGATCTGCTCTTCCCTTCTTCTCTCTAAGCAACCAACTTGCAGCCTTCATACCTACTGCATTACAGAATAAATTTGGGGTTCAGGTGTTCAATTTGGACCAGGAAGATAGCTCAAAGGGATAAAGTGTATGCCTTCATGCAGGATGCCTGGGCTTACATTTGAGCCTCCTGACACCCCATTTTTCCTCAAGCACCTATGCAACTGAGCACTCCCCATCACACATATGCACACAAACCTCCAAATGTTTGGCCTGAGCATGTTTTCTTTGCACCTGGCCATCCTATATTCATCCCTGGCATCCCTTATGGTCCCGAGTCCTGCCAGCGTGAGCCCTGAGCACCACCAGTGTGATTAAAAACACTGTAGCACTGTCCTCCCGTTGTTCATCGATTTGCTTGAGCAGGCACCAGTAACGTAGGTTAAACACAAAAA